TGTTATTTTGAATAATTTTTAGTTATTTTTTCAAGGCTCTTGATTTACAAATGAAAGCACTGCAGCTGTTAAATTACTTTTCCATGTTGAAGGAATATTTGTGCAGCAAATCATTTTTACATTAATTCCCAAATATGAGTTACACAATATCTTTTAATATTTTTGTGAGACTATTATGAAGTCACTACTCATTTCTGCATATTAAAAACTCAATGCCATATTGAACAAATAATTGGATAGGAAAGATTATTTTAACTAAGGTATAAAAATATATATTCCTATAGGTTTATCATTACAGATCGATTTTGGCATTCTTCATTTCTTCTATCTTTAAGCTTAGGTGATATGTATTTGATATTGTGTCCATCTACAACCAAAACATTAAAAAAATATGTCAAGAAAGAAAGGTCTGTGGGATTAATTCCTGATAGGATCTGTTGGGGTCATGGTAAAGTTAGGTTTTATGAATATAGGCTTCTCAGTGTATTTTAGAAGATAAATTTCTTTAGAAACACAGGCACACTAAGGTAAGTTCTGTTTGCCAGTGACTCCAGTTAGGAGTCTATCTATCTATCTGGGGCCTATACACCCCATATTCTGCATTTAGGAAACTGAAGTAAGACTCAGTAATGTATTAATGTCTACATGTAAATTAAAATTTTAAAATATTTTAAAATTATAGACAACAATGGTCTATAATTAAAAATAGATGTATATGAAATAATTATGTGAGCTCTCATTTTCTCTGTCTTCAATTTTACTTCCCAGCAGTTAATATTCTTAGTAGCTTATTATGTATTCTCTTCAAATATTTTTTAATAAAGAGAAACTTGTAAATATCATCCATTTTATCTTAATGTGAACTTAACCACACGTTTTTCCATAATTCTTAACTGAAAATTGTCCTGAGCATATATTTCTAGGAGAAACAATATATCAACATTTCTATTATTTTTTCTCTTGGAGAAGTTTTCCATACTATTACAATATCAGTGAGAAAGATTTTAAGAATCAGGACACTATGGTTTAGACATTAGTGAATCTGAATATTGTTTGTGCACAGGTAATAAAATGAAATTTTAAGGAAGATTTTCATTCATTATTTTCATACCATATATGCTAAATTCATCCTGTATGTTTTTCTGTGAAGGGCCCTTTCAAATATGTGTTGATATCCCTAAGTAAAAATGTATTAAGATCTGTCTCTTAAATTCTAGCTAGTTGAGAGATGAATCAGTGACATACAGAGACATAATTCCTAAGAAGTTGAGAGAAAAGCATTTTGTTCTGTGCATTAAAAATTAGACTAGCTTCAGAGGCTAGTCTACCATTTTTATGCATTAAAAATTAGACCAGCCTCTGAAGCTATGTGTATAGATTCATCCAACACATTATAGAGGAAGGTTTGCAGTCTTCTATGAGACCTGAGGGGATGTTAAACATTATATGCAATTACCTTTTGCAATTTCTGCAGTGAAGGCATGGAACAGATGTGACTATTTGGTGAAATATGTGTACTTTCTTTTAGAATTCACTATGAGATTAAGTTAAAGCCAGCTGTACACCAAGGCACATACAATGATAAATCTTTTTTGTACTCCATTCTGATTTCTTGGCTTACATTACATTCTTTTCTTTCTTTCTTTTTTTCTTTTCTTTTTTTTTTTTTTTGGTACCAGAAATTGAACTCAGGTTAACCACTAAGCCACATCTCCCGCCCTAATTTATGTTTTATGTAGAGACAAGGTCTTGCTAAGTTATTTAGGGCTTCACTAAGTTGCTGAGGCTGGCTTTGAACTTGCAAACCTCCTACTTCAGCCTCCTGAGCTGCTGGGATTATAGTTGTATGCCACTGCACCTGGCACATGATATAACTTAAGATCTAGTTTCCAATGAAGGAAACATCAAATGACATTTGGGTAATCAGATTGATAGTTCAGAACTCTATTGAGATTCTTGCTTTCTGCAAGCTACTGGAAGGTTTTGGTCAGCTTTAAATAGTATGGAATAAAAATGGTAGATAGTATTTATAGATATAATTTTATTTGGAAATTTACTAATGACCACACTAGTTACTATCAGAGATATTAATATAGAGAATGTAAATTAAATAAATACAGAATCATAATTATAAGTGCAAATTATAATTAAATTAGTATTAATGATGTTTCAAATATCATTTAAGACATTTTAATTTGTCTTGTGTCTCTTACTACTGTTACTAGTAATAATCCTATCAGAAAACCTGATTTTTAAAGTAGTAGTTTGGAAATTCCATGCTACATTAATTCCCCTCCTTCAATATAGGTCATATGCTTTTAGTTAATTTATAATTTATTCTGAGCAGATGGTTAATATCTACATTTTTATTTAATGTTTTCATTGATTTACAAAATTCTTTCACTCTTTAATGAGTTGTTGACCTATCTACAAAGTATTATTTTCTTCTAATCTCCTTTTCATAGAGCAGTCTTAAATGATCCACATCAATTGGTCAATCCAGTTGGCTCTGAGGTCTTGAATTTTCTTTATGTAATCGTGGGGCCTGTCAGAACACTGCCATTTTCTTTCATCTTTGTTTTAAGACCTCCCATTTATCCTTGATTTATATTATTTTACATACATTCTACTATTATTTAACAAGTATCTTTTTTCTTCTGACTCTTTTGATTTTTTATGTAATCCTCACTTCTATTCCCTATCTTTACTTTAATGAAGACAATGGCTTGCCACAGTTAAAAACCATGCAGTCTAATAGATCTAGTCTAAATTCCATCTTGTCTAGTTGTATGATCTTGTAATTTAATTCCTTTTCAGTCTCAATTACTTCTTTAATATAAGGCAGCTCTGCAAGGTTATTGTGAGATTTTGGAAGTAAAATAGCACCAGCTCTGGTAAATGCCACGTAAACAACACTGAGTCACCACAGGCAGATGAGCTCTTAATACAAAACCCTTAGGTTAAATGTTTTTTTTCAGAATCCATAATTATTCATGGTCTTTAAATGGTATACATATTCTATATGTTACTTAAAACTTCCAATAAGTGAGTCAACATTTGTAAACAAATTGGTAATTCTTTAGGACAATAATTCTGTGTGAATTATATAGAAATATGAGCCTCCTCCAACATGATGGAGATTAGGGCCTACTTTTTCTTCTGTTAGATGCAGGGTCTCTGGTTTAATTCCTAGGTTCTTGATCCATGTTGAATTAAGTTTTGTGCATGGTGAGAGATAGGGGTTCAATTTCATTTTGTTGCATATGGATTCAGTTTTCCCAGCACCGTGTGTTGAAGATGCTATCTTTTCTCCAATGTATGTTTTTGCCACCTTTGTCTAATATAAGATAATTGTAATTTTGTGGGTTAGTCTCTGTATTCTGTACCATTGGTCTACCAGTCTGTTTTGGTGTCAATATCATTGCTGTTTTAGTTACTATTGCTCTGTAGTGTAATTTAAGCTCTGGTATAGTGATGCCACCTGCTTCACTCTTTCTGCTAAGGATTGCTTTAGCTATTCTGGGTCTCTAATTTTTCCAGATGAATTTCATGATTGCTTTTTCTATTTCTATGAGGAATGTCATTGGGATTTTGATTAGAAGTGCATTAAATCTGTACAGTGTTTTTGGAAGTATGGCCATTTTGATAATCAGTCTACACCCAAAGTACTTAAAAACAGCATACTACAGGGACATAGCCACATCAATGTTTATACTAACACAATTCACAATAGCTAAACTGTGGAACCAACCTAGATACCCTTCAATAGATGAATGGATTAAAAAATGTGGCTTATATACACAATGGAATATTACTCAGCAATAAAAGAGAATAAAATCATGGCATTTGCAGGTAAATAGATGGAGTTAGAGAAGATAATGTTAAGTGAAGTTAGCCAATCGCAAAAATCAAAATGCCAAGTGTTTTCTTTGATATAAGGAGGCTGATTCTTAGTGGGTTAGGGATTGGAATCATGGGAGGAATACACGAACGCTTGATAGGGCAGAGGGGTTGGAGAGGAAAGGAGGAGGCATGGGGTTATTAATGATGGTGGAATGTGATGGTTATTATTATCCAAAGTACAGGTATGAAGACAAAAATTGGTATGAATATATTTTGTATACAGAGATATGAAAAAGTGTGCTCTATGTGTGTAATAAGAATTGTAATGCATTCCACTGTCATATATAAATTTAAAAAAAAGAAATATGAATCTCCTATCTTCAGTCTTCCATCAGTTGAGGTCAGAGGTGTGATAGTACCACCAAATGGATTATGAAAACATTCATTATTCAAACTTTTAAGGTTCGAAATTATGGATAAAAGGCTAAGAATCTAGAAAAAAGGGGGTTCTTTACTGCCTTATTTATTGTGGTCTGATTTTTTTTCCTTATTTTGAATATCTGCATGCTTTCTAGATTTTTTTAAGTATGGGATCACAGACACTTTTTCTTTCCTCTGGTTCCACAACTAATTTTCTTCCACAGGTATCCTCGAGAGTACTTTTGAGAATGAAAGGAAGGAAGGAAATAGAACTATTTTAAATGTGAACATACTTAAATGGACATGGCAAGGTCATGTCACATTTAGAATTTTTTTTCTCTCTAATTTGTCACAATGTGAAGTATATAATAATATTTGGAGGAGAATACACAGAAATCATTAGTATTCATTTCTTGGTTTATGAGGAAGCCTGGCTCCTATTATATATTTTAATTGGAAGATGATTTAGCAGAATTTGTAGTTAAATACAATGTACTAGCAATTTCAGATTGTATGTATTTTATTGTTTTATGTAAGTATTTATAAGTTTTTGAGAAATATAGAGTATCTTATTGATGAGTTAGAATTGCTTTTTCTTTATGAAATGAGGGTCAGTATAGATTTAAGTCTGTTCTCTCATTATCTACTGATTTATGAAAATGAATGTTGTGATTAAATCATAGTCAGGTAATATATAATTATTAATCAGAATTAATTCCAGAATTTATTTTTTTCAGTGTCCTACTGAAACCAAAGCAACATTTGGGGTTCATCTTAAAATAGTAGGAGACTGGACAGGTATGTAAAACATAGAGGGTTAATATATGTGCTTTGATAATAATGGGTCATAGCAATAATTTGCATGTGTTTAAGTTGTATAATTACTAATACGCAAGGAGAAGTGTATGTGTTTCAATCTATTGTTCTGATTTCTTTCTTTGCTTCTACAGTTTTGACATGTAAGTTTTGTTTTTGTAAGATGCATTTTTTAAATTAGAATACCTTGGATATCAGTAACTATCAGCAAATCATAGTTTTCTGCCTACTAGTCAGATATACTGGAAATAGTGAGAATGCTGAAATGTGTTTTAGAAAACATAATTTTAGAATTCATGCTAGGATTGACTCTCAAAATAGTCAACATTTGATCTGAGATAACACAAGTCTTCTGATTTATATATATATATATATATATATATATATATATATATATATATATATATATATATATATGACAGTGGAATGCATTACAATTCTTATTACTCATATAGAGCATAGTTTTTCATATCTCTGGTTGTATACATAGTATATTCACACCAATTTGTGTCTTCATACCTGTACTTTGGATAATAATGACCATCACATTCCACCATCATTAATAACCCCCTGTCCCCTCCCTTCCCCTCCCACCCCTCTGCCTTTCTACAGTTCTTCTATTCCTCCCATGATTCCGCTCCCTATCCCACTAAGAATCAGCCTCCTTATATCAAAGAAAACACTTGGCATTTGGATTTTTTCGAATGGCTAACTTCACTTAGCATTATATTCTCTAACTCCATCTATTTATCTGCAAATGCCATGATTTTATTCTCTTTTATTGCTGGGTAATATTCCATTGTGTATATATGCCACTTTTTTAACAATCCATTCATCTATTGAAGGACATCTAGGTTGGTTCCACAGTTTAGCTATTGTGAATTGTACTACTATAAACATTGATGTGGCTGTGTCCCTGTAGTATGCTGTTTTGATCCTTAACATGACCTTTTGTGTAGTGAATCTATACATATATTAACATCATAACATCTTTGAAACAGTGGTCACTTTGTATTAAGAGTTTTGATTAAATTATATATATTCCTTTGACCCACTAGAGTGACTGACAAAGCAGCTTTAAGTTGTTTTTTGAAGGAAAGAATGAAAGTGTAAACATGAATATCAATATAAATTAGAGTAGTTCTATAGCTAAGCACTAGGCAAGGAATTACCCTATAAAATATTTGTAATCAGAAAAATATAGATTTGGTGTTATATAGGGTACAATAGAAACTTCATAGAGAAGACAGAATTTGAATTGAATCTTGGAAATCAGGTACATGAAGAAATATGTAGGTAATAAAGTGAAATTTACAGCATTGTCAAAAGTCAGTGAAGGTATGGACTAAACCACAATTGGAAATAATGAGTCCATCAGTCTTCAATCAGTCAAACAAATGGCAAAGTCTCTCACATGAAACAACAACAACAAAAAATAGTCAACCTAATAAAATCAAAGATTTTCTTTTGGCAAAAATTATGGAAAAGCCATTTTGGGTCACCCTGGTGAAAAGTATGAATGCCTCCCTCCATCAGATATTAAAATAACCTTGATATTCTAGGGAGCCTTTGAGGACTTTAACACACTGATGAAAATGGTATTAATAAGCTTCTATTTGGATGAATTAGAAACAAATGTCGCTTCTGAAGGCAGAGTAGAAGGAAGTCCTAGAAAGGTAAAGATGGAAAATAGAAGAAGTAGATTTGTGAGCACAAGTTAAGAAGTAAGCATTGGAAAAAAAAAAGAACTAGTTTCTTTTGAATATCAGGGAAAGATAATATGTTGGGTATTAAGAAATATTTTGGCACAAGAAAAAGTGTAGTTGATATAAGCAGATTATATAATATAGTTAAAAAATAATAGCAGTGTGTATAAAATCCTCTATCTTTAAAGCACTTTAAATGACTTGAAATTCAACAGTTTAAAGGATTGGAAAATATGGACCATAAAATTCAATCGATAAAAACCTAAATAAGTTAACAAGATCTTTGAGCTCTAATGTCTTACCCAAGTAAGACATTAGACATCATAAAATCAGGCTTAAAATAGCTAACGTTCATATAGTAGTATTCAAAAGAGACCAAGGTAGTCCATAGGTACAACAACATGCTGGAGTATGAAGTATTCATTCTTATGTATAACCAGAATCAGTTGGTAAAATCACAATTGTTTTGGTCCTGCTTGGGAAATAAAGAATGAGGGAATTTTTTTACTGGTAAGAATTATAGTACAGTAGAAATAAAGTTCAGTGATAAATGCTAATTGATAGAATTCTACATCTGTAAGAACAATGAAGACCTAATTTAATTTAAGGGTAAGTGTAAGCTTCATGATGGTTTATTACTAGCTATTGTTTCTAAGTTTCTTCTCAAAGTTATTTTTTATCAGTAGCTTATTAAAATAAATGATTACATAACCACTTATTTTAATTATCTCTATTAGGAACACATAATGATGTTAATTTTATCCTTTATTTTAATGTACTGTACCATTGAAAGGAAAACAAGATCGTTCTATTCAAAGAGTAAAGTTGTATTCAGATGCTTTTCAATTAGTAGACCTTCTTTACTGTTGACTTGAAATACTTGTTGGCTTAGAAAAAAATGTCAAGCATTCATGCAGAGAACACCTAAATAATTCTACCACTGACATTTTCGTTCAAAAAAAGACTTGGCTGCCTTAAAAAAAAATGAGATTGCAATTATTGAGGGAAAATTGAGAACACTACTCCTGAGATCAGGATCACTGGTTTTTATTATAAAATTGATTAGAACTCAGTATTAAGAGCAGTAGTTATAGGAAATATCAGAGGTGCTAAGGTGTTTGAACATCAATGGGTTTGTTTTACTTAGAAATATTTAATTATAACTTTTCTATGGTGATATACCTTCTGCATGTGCAGTGTACAGGATATAAAGAGCAGATTTATGAGTGTCCCATAAATGTTTATTCCAAAATAAATTTACTACATATACTGCAGTGTTCCCAAAAAATCATGAAGAGCTGCATAACACAGAGCAAGGTGGCATGTAAGTTTCACATTTGTTGTCTAGATTTTTATTTTCATTAGGCCTCTAGTGTGAGGCCTCCTAAAAGTGCAAGATACCCATTAAGTTTAGAAATATATATATTTTAGTATATATATAAAAATATATACTATCAATGGCTATAGCCACAAAGGAGTAACTGGAAATGTACTTTATGTTGTTGTTGTTGTTGATATGCCTAGAGAATTGCACTGGTTAGAATCCCACAAGCACTGGTTAGAATCACATAAGCACATTGAGAGTGGAGTAGATTACCCAAATAGTTTTCTCTTTTGATTAAAATAATACTTTTGTTGGTATTCTAGAATCAATCATGTTCTCCATTTGCAAACATATGGTCCTAGATTGCCTATTGACTTGGTCATCATTTTTACTGTTGAAAAAATGTCTTAGTTTTGTTATATATGATTACTGTGGAATTTTCTGAGGTATGCTATAACCTTAGTTATTTTAATGGTCTAAATTGCAGCTTATTCCATAGATCATTGAATTCAACTGCAAAGGTATTATACCTTCACAGTAATTTAAAATTTTGCCATTGACATATTCAATAATTAATTGATAGAAAAGAATTGTACATAAACATGCAATAGAGGACTTGTTGTATGACAGATCTTCTTGGAATCTGGGATAAAATTTTTCATATTGTTTATTTTTGATGGGGTACAGAGCATATGGATTTGACTTGATCTCATCATATTAATTACTCAACAGTGCAGATAATCTTTGATGCAGCCTTAGTTAAAGAACAGGTAGAAAAAAGAGGCAATAGCTGTTTCTTTTTACTTATTTCTATACAATTATGTAAACCAGGCATATTTCAGACATCATTCAGCTGTTTTTTCATAAAGAGATTAAAGCATAATATGTATTATGTGTTTAAAATAATTTAAAAGACTTTTGATATATTCCTTATAAGTAAAAATGTGACCATGACAATTACAAATGCTATTACCTTATGGTTACAACATATTTTAGGTCAATTGTATCATCTACCTTGTGCTAAATATAATAGTGAAGAGCTTTGGGTTGATGCAAAAAAGCAAAAATATAACAGTGTTTCTATTGAATGTTGTACCCATTTGAAAGCCATGCTAAAAAGAATATATAAAATAAATTGGAGCAGACTAACTTCTTTGAATTATATAAATCATATTTGTGTATATGAAATTTCAAGCTTTTACATGCTTTATGTAAATGTTAGTCTAAGACAATAATAAATATATACTATCAATGGCTATAGCCACAAAGGAGTAACTGGAAATGTACTTCATGTTGTTGTTTTTGATATGCCTAGAGAATTGCACTAGTTAGTCACTTGTGAAAGATAATATTTAAGCTATTTGCTATTTTGACTAAAATGAAATATACATTTAATACCTATTATATCCTAGACTCTGTTTAGTCTCTAGGAATATAGCACTGACCAAAGCAGACAAGGTTCCTTCTTGCGTAGACATGTATTCTGGTCAATGAAGACTTCTAGTGATCAACAAAGCACTTAGTATATTATTGGACTTTTTCAGGACTTCCCTTTATTTATTTATTTATTTATTTATTTATTTATTTATTCTAATGTAATGGCAACCTATTTGAGGACTTGGGCCAGGATCTGACTCATGTTTTGAACGGGTAACTCTGAATGCTGTGTAGAGAGGGTACAAGTAGGCAAAAGTAGAAATAGGAAGATGAGATAAGGGAAGCTTTTGCTGAAGTACAAGTAAGAAAAATCCTAAATTCGCTTAAGGTAATAGTGATTAGAGGTAAGGGAAGTGAGATATGGTTGGATTTTACAAGTATTGTTGATGACAGATTTTGTTGATGCATTGGAGTTTAAATGTAAGAGAGGTTAGGAATCAAGGAAGACTCCAAGATTTTCAGCTTGATTAGATGGATAGTGCTGCCACTTGTTGATATAGAGAGTACTATTGCAT